TTTCTTTCTTTCTTTCTTTCTTTCTTTCCTTCTCTCTTTCTTTTTTTATTTTCTAATACATGTCATCTTTATTTGGAAAATAGTTTTTTGTTGTTATTGTTCTTGGTAATTTTCTTCTGTACTTTTGTGTCCCTTATTTTTATTGAGCATGAATTTGAGAATCTTTTTTTTTTTTTTTTTGGTTTTTCGAGACAGGGTTTCTCTGTGTAGCCCTGGCTGTCCTGGAACTCACTCTGTAGACCAGGCTGGCCTCGAACTCAGAAATCCACCTGCCTCTGCCTCCCAAGTGCTGGGATTAAAGGTGTGCGCCACCACTGCCCGGCAAGAATCTTCATTAAATAAACTTTATAGATAAAATATAAGCCAAGAATATAAAAATATTAGCAGACAGTCAAAAGTTTTGTGCCTAAATCTGTTTATGTATTTGGCTCAATCACATAAAGGAACTCTCTTAAAATGAAACTTCCCAAGGCCGTGGGAGGCTTTTCCCAGGAAGAGTGGCCAGTAGCATAAATGAGTCGGATGGGGTGGGAGAGTGTTGTCTCGCGTGTGTGTGCTGCCACATAGTGTCAGTTATGGGAATTGTACGTTTGTTTCACAGCTTCAGGCCAAATTTGAGCACCTCAAAAGAATTCATCAGGAAGAGAGAATGAAACTTGAAGACAAGAGAAGAATGCTGGAGGAAGAGTCAATTGCTTTCGCGAAGAAGAGAGCTACCTGCGAGCTTTTCCCGAACCAGTCATTTTTGACGTCAGGTAGCAGCCTTAGGAAGGACAAAGACCGAAAGAAGTAAGAGTCCTGCTCTCCTGCCCCTGTTCTTGACCCTCACCATTTGTCTCCTTGCCCTGTTTGCTCTTCCTTACCTGCTTCCACACTGTCTGCCTCCTGCTACCAACACTGCAGCGGCTTCCGAGCAGACTCCTCCTTGGTCCCACTGTCCTCTCAGCAGCTAGTGCAGCGCCTGCCTTGTCTGAGGGCTTCAGTGCTTACCAAACCAAGGGAAGCACAGATTAGCGCGCTTCACAGCACAGAAGTGTTAGGTGGGGCAGGGCAGGTGGAGTCGCTACTGTCCCTCCATAGTCCTGCCGTTGGTGCTCACTAGTACCACGAGTTATTTTATATTTACGTCTCCATGGAAACTGCATACTGATGGAGAATCTCAGGATTAAGTACCGTATTGATGAAACTTTAATTCTTAGACTCATTTAAAAATAATTCTACTCATCATCGATTTGTGAGAATTTGTTATTTTAATAAGGGAATTCGGTATCAGCTGGATCTCCTGTGCTTTGAAGTCAGAGCTGGTGAACTCAGTGATGGATGTAAGGAATGAGAGGAAAGTAGAGAGGGCCACAGCAGGGTCCCTCCTCGGGGATGAGGAGCAGTTGAACGGTAATCTCAAACTCATGGGTTTGGGATCTGTGTTACAAGTTACCAGCTTTTGAAAATAAGTTTACTTTCCTTTATGATAATTTCATTCAGTACTTTGTGTCCCTCATTTTATTCCTCCTATTTTAAAGTTTCCTGTGTCCATTTTACTGTTTTTGCTGTCAAGAAACCTGTCATGCCTTGTTCTGTTACAAGGCCCTCTGTCACAGGAGGGCCGAGACCTCTGTGTTCCTCACAGAACAAGCTCCTGCTTCAGGGAACTCAGTGCCTACATTTTGTGTAATTATTTGTTGAAAGAATGAATGTATAATAGATGTATTTTGATTGAAGTTTTGGATTTCAGGATGCAAATTATGAATAGAATTTATTACTAGTTTTACCATGCTCTGAATTAAAAAGATGAGCTTTTTAGCTTCTTGATTGTGGTCTAGTGTGACAGAATAAGATCCCCAGTTTCCCATGTATATCTCCTCATTTCAGTTGTCATTCCACTCTCCTTGAGAGCCTCGCTAGTGTTTACAAAGTCAGACAAACTTTAGATTCTTTTTCTTTCTCCCTGTGTATGCTAATGCTTGGGATTGGGCCTCCAGCTTCCCATCTGGCAGGCGGCATTCTTATTGCCGAGTTATAACCCATGGCTTGGTTTTGTTTGTTTTTAAGACATGGAATAATGTATTCTAGGGTGGCTAGCGTCTACACATTTATTATGCCAAAGAGTCTAACCCAGGGCTTTATTCTCGCTTTACCAGCTGAGCAGCATTCCATCCCCAGCCCAGTCCAGAGATCTTTAAGAGCTCAGGACTCATCCTCCAGACAGTGGGGCTTGATAACTGTTTTTCTTTTTCAAAGTCCCCTAGCTAAATGTTCTGTATGTGCTGTCTATTTGCTCTTTCTATAAAAGCTTTGTGGCCGGGCAGTGGTGGCGCACGCCTTTAATCCCAGCACTTGGGAGGCAGAGGCAGGCGGATTTCTGAGTTCGAGGCCAGCCTGGTCTACAGAGTGAGTTCCAGGACAGCCAGGGCTACACAGAGAAACCCTGTCTCAGAAAAAAAAAAAAAAAAAGCTTTGTGAAAGTAATGCTTTTGATAATTTTCGCTTCCTAATTTTTTATTGTTCCATTCAAAAGATTTTTCTCTTTCCAGCTCCAATTTTATATAACACAAGAGTTCCAGAGCACAGACGGTCATCACAGTCAAAGGTCATTTGTATGAATTGAGGCTTTGCTCTTTTTGCCTTATCAGTAACTCAGCTATTATCTAGCAAAGGACTAACATTATTCATACTTGTAGAAAAATAGTTTCACGTACAAGGCTGATCCGTAAGCCAAGGTGCATATTTCTCACACATACACTGTGGTTAGGAATCTGTCAGTTCCTAGTTTGCTGTCGATCTTGATCTGCTTTCCTGCTGCCGGATGTTATTCTGCTGAGTGTTACTCTAAGTAGCAAAGGTTTATCACCATTGCAACACTACAGAACTCCTTCAGATTATGAATATCTGATTGCCGTTTTATTCTTGCGTGAACCTAGTTTTTTGCTGTATACTAAACAGAAAACACTGGAGGCATATACTTCAGAATGTATTACAGAGTCAAAGTTAACTTTAAACTATGTAACTTTTTATGATTCAATGTGCCTTGTTGTGTATTGCTGTGATATAGCAAAATATGTTTAGAAATTAAAACATATATCTGAAGCTTGGTTATGATATTATTTTTCTTAAGAAATCATATGTATTTTTAAAATTTTTTGCCTTTTAAGGACTAGGAAAGTTGAAAAAAATAAAGCTGAAAATTTTATGAGAACATCAGAATCTTAAATGTATTAAAAACTTGATACTTTGTATTTCAGGAGATATTAGCATTCAGTGCCTTAGTAGTCCTAGAGCATTTTAATTTTTTATCTTTTCTAATGGTTATAGGTATATATGTTTTCATTCTTTTGTATTTGAATATTCTGTATTCTGAATAAAATTGATACTCTTGACCAATCTATGTATTTCCTAAAATGTGTTTAAGTTGCTTCAATTTTTGTTTTTCATTGACACATAATTTATCCTTTAATGCAGTAGAATGTGATATTTCATGATTTTCTATAACGTGTGATGATCAAATCAGGGTAATTGGTATAGTCACCAACTAACGAGAACGTTCAGAGTCATTCTACTATTAAAGTGGATTTCTTTATCAGCCATAGTTACTGTACTGTGTTGTAGAATATTAGAAAATTTTTATCCCTGCACCTATATGTTGCTTCCCCACCTCCCCTATATCCTTCCCAGCCCTTACTAATTACTGTTCTTTTCTTACTCTTCTGAGACCAAGGTTTTTTTAGCCTCCACTTGTGGAATTTGTCTTTCTGTGTTTGACTTATAATGCCCTCTTGTTCCTCCTTGGGAGTGCAGATGATAAGATTTCTGTCTTAGGACTGAATAGCGCTCCATTGTGTATGTATCTGCACTGCTTTGTCCTTTCTGTTTATGCTGCTGGGCTGCTAGGCTAATGCCATAGCTAGGGTGCTGTAAATACTGCTGCATTAAACAAGGGACTGCAGATGTCTCTCTGATGTACTGAGTTCATTTCTACTGGCTGTATTCCTAGTACTAGAACTACCAGATTATTATATAGTTCTATCCCTATTAATTTTTGGGAAATTGTTTCCATAATGGTAATACTCGTTTATATTTTTTAGCAGTAGTATATGGAAGTTACTCTTTCTGGACATCCTCACTAACATTTATTATTCTTTATTATTGATGTGTTTATAAAGAGATAAAGAGAGTATGTTCCGTGGGTGTGTGGAGAGGTATGGGGGAGGGGATGTCTCAGCGGGCCCATGCAGAGGCATCCCTTCCCCCTGAGGGACCAGTCACACACGGGTATAGCATAGAATAGAGTTTATTCAGGGCATGGGGAGGGGAGCCAGGAGGGTAGTAGAGGCAGAGAGAGTGGGTGGGGTAGATGAAGAGGAGGAGGAAGAGGAAGAGGAGGAGGAGGAGAGAAAAGAGGAGGAGAAGGAAGAGCAGAAGAGAAGTAGAGGCCGTCCATGACCACGTGGAGAGAGGGGGAAGGGAAGGGAGGTGGTCGAGGGGACAGAGAGAAGCTGGAGGCAAGAGAGCAAGAGAGAGAGAAGGGGCAAGCAGCCCCTTTTATAGTGGGCTAGGCCTATCTGGCTGTTGCTAGGTAACTGTGGGGAGGAGCACACCTGGCTGTTGCTAGGTAACTGTGGAGGTGGAATTTAGACAGAATATTAACAATTACTGTAAACTACCAATGTCCTCACTAGCATTTCTTTTTAATGATCACTGTTCTAACTGGATGAGAGCTTGTGATTGTGAAACAATTTACATGTGTACTGGTCATTACATTGCTTTTGAGGTCTGTGTATTTGTTTTGTTTGCCCGTCTTATCATTGGAGATTGTTGTTTATCTGTTTAGGCCTCTGGTAAATAATCCATTTTTGAATGAGCAGACGGCTCTCTCTGTTGAATAGTTGTCTTACGTCTGTCTCCTGTGCTCTGTTGAGCGTTTGTGTCTGGCACAGTCCCATGTGTTCTTTGGTTGCCTCTGCTTTTCCTGTCTTATCTCCGCTCCCCTTGCCTGCCCTGAATTGATTCCCATATAACTTCTTCAAGTGGTTTCTTGGTTTTAGCTTAAGTCTTTTTCCATTTTTTGAGGTCCCTCTCCTACCCCTTATTATTATAGGAAGTAAATGGGCAAGAAAGAAAGCACTTCCCAGAGCTGTCAGGTTTCCTCCACGGGCAGACCTTGCGTCCTCGCACCCTGATTAGTCAGGCCAGCCCTCAGTTGTTACAGTTTCATAGGCTCAGCAGCAGTGCTGCTCTTGTGCATTTGATCTGCCTACGTGCCTGTGGGCCATGACAGGGTTCTCGGTAGCATTCCTTGCAGAAGGGAAACTGATAAAGTTAAAGCAGCTACTTTGTAAGTGTCTGTTTTCTCAAGATAAGGACAAGGGGGATTTAACTGAGCAAGTGAGAGTACAAGGTAGAGCTCACAAGGAAAGTTTTAATCCATTTTAATCCTCTGCATCAGTATATATAGAGTGAATGCTGGGGCCTAGTTTCTTCATGTGGATGTCCAGTTTTCCCAGAATTATTTGGGGGGAAGTTGACTCATCTGTGTGAGGGGTGGTTGGGCATGCGCCACAATAGATATGGAGGGGAGAGACAGCTCATGGGAGTCAGTTGTCCTTTTAGCGTGGTGGTCAGGCCTAGTGGCCTGGTTACAAGCACCTTATCATACCCTGTACCCTGTACCCTGTACCTACCCCTGAACATTTTTTTTTTTTTTTGGAAGAGACAGTTCCTTTTCCAGTGGATATTCTGCTTTTGGGGAAAAGTTATCTGTAATGATACCTGAATAATTTCTGGCTTCTTTATTCTGCTCCGCTGATTTCTTTTTTGTTTGTTTGTTTATTTTTGCCCTTGTTTGTTCTGAAGTTTTTGAGATGAATATTTGTGATGACTCAGTTTTGTTGTTTGTGCTCAAGATGGCTTTGACTAGTCAGGGTCTTTTGTGGTACACTGTATTAGCTTTTTCTTGTTCTTCTTTCAGGTTTTCTTGTGTTATCCAGTATTTGGGAGATACATATTGAATTGTAGGTTATATTGGAAGATTTTAATATCCTTCTTACAAACAAGAAAACAGGAAGGCCCCCTTCCTGGTTATCCCCTCCCACAGTCCTTCCCCTTTCACTCCCCCCTTCTTCTCTGGGAGGGTGGGAACATCACTGGGTTTCCCCCCTATCTTGGCCCTTCCTCTCCCACTGAGGCCAGACAAGGCAGCCCAGCTAGTAGAACATAATCCACAGACAGGCTTAGGACTCACATGAAAATCAAGCTGTACATCAGCTACATATGTACAGGGGGCCTTTTTCCAGTCCCTGTATGTTCTTTTGTTGGTGGTTCAGATTCTGGGAACCCCTAGGGTTCAGGTTAGTTGACTCTGTTGGTCTTCTTATGGAGTTCCTATCCCCTTCAGGACCCACAATCCTTCCTCCTATTCTTCCATAAGAGTCCCCAAGCTCCATCCACTGTTTGGCTGTGGGTGTCTGAATCAGCTGCTGAGTGGAGCCTCTCAGAGGACAACATGCTCCTGTCTGAAAGCATAATAGAGTATCATTAATCGTGTCAGGGGTTGGTGCTTGTCCATGGGATCAGTCTCAAGTTGGGCCATTTATTGGTTGGCCATTCCCTCAGTCTCTGCTCCCTCCCCTCTGCCTGCGTTTCTTGTAGACAGGATAAATTTGGAGTTGAAAGTTTTGTGGGTGGGTTGGTGTCTCTATTGCTCCACTAGGGTTCCTGTCTGGATCCAGGAGGTGGCCTCTTCAGGTTCCATATCCCCAGTGTTGTGAGTCACAGCTAAGGTTACTCCCATTGATTCTTGGGTGCCTCCCTTATCCCAGGTATCTGTCTCATCCAGGAGATGCTTCCACCCCTGTCAGTTGCAGATTGCCATTCATTTTCATGGCCATCTAGCCATTTCTCCTGTCCTCCACAACTGATCTGAAATCCCCCATTCCCCTCCCCACTCCCCTCCCAGTTCCCTCCCTCCATCTGCCTCTTATGACTACTTTATTCCTCCTTCTAAGTGAGATTCAAGCTTCCTCACTTGGGCCTGCCTTCTTGTTTAGCTTCTTTGGGTCTGTAGAGTGTAACATGGTACCTGTATTTTATGGCTAACATCCACTTATATGTGAGAACATACCGTGCATGTCCTTTTGGGACTTGGTTACTTCATTCAGGGTGATATTTTCAAGTTCCATCCATTTGCCTGCAAAATTCATGTTGTCTTGGTTTTTAACAGCTGAGTAATGTTCCACTGTGTAGATGTACCACATTTTCTTTATCCATTCTTCAGTTGAGGGTCATCTAGGTTGTTTCCAGTTTCTGGCTTTTATGAATAAAGCTGCTATGAACATAGTTGAAGAAGTATTTTTGTGAGATCCTGGATCTCAAGAAGTTAGACACCAACAACCCAAATAACCCAATTAAAAATGGGGTACAGAGCTAAACAGAATTCTCAACAGAGGACTCTTGAATGACTAAGAAGCATTTAAAGAAATGTTCAGAGTCCTTAGTCATCAGGGAAATGCAAATCAAAACCACTCTGAGGTTCCGTCTTACACCTATCAGAATGGCTAAGATCAAAATTTCAAGCTATAACACATGTCTGGGAGGATGTGGAGCAAGGGGCACACTTCTCCATTGCTGGTGGGAGTGCAGACTTGTACAACTGCTTTGGAAATCAATTTTGTGGTTTCTCAGAAAACTGGGAATAGTTTTGCCCCAAGACCCAGCTATACCTCTCCTGGGCATATACCCAAAAGATACTCCAACATCTCACAAAGACACTTGCTCAACTATGTTCATAGCCTGCTTTCTTATGCCATCCAAGGGTACCTGCCTATGGGTAGCACCACCCACTATGGGTTGGGGCCCTCTCTCATCAACCTGTCAATCGAGAAAAGACCCCACAGGCTTGTCTGAAGGCAGATCGTACGGAGATATTTTCTCAGTTGAGGTTCTCTTCTCTCAGTGAACTCCAGCCTGTGTCAAGTGGAGCCAAGAAGTAGCCAACACTATGAGAAAGGGTGTGTACAGTGAACTAAGGCTCACATAACCCAGGCCTATCAACTGAATGGAAGGCTGCACCCCTCGCCTTTGGCATCTAACTCCTCCACCTGGACTTACAAAGAGGAAGTCCTGGCAGGAGCCAGCTTCTCGAGCATCCCAGTTATCTTGCTGCTTTCTTGAAGTACAGTTTTCACCTGTACTCTTACTTCAGATTTACTGCTTTACTTCTTGTATGTATGCATTTATTCAGTTACTTGTACCAGATGCCTGAAATCCATGAATAGTCCTTTTGGACCAATGCCACTGCTAGCATCATCATGTCCACTGGCTCTGGGACTGAGTTACCAATGATGCAAAACCAAGAAGTTACTCAAGAGAACATAAACAGCAAACCCTGGT